AAAACTCCCTCCAGTACCCTGTAACCTGCAGCTTGGAACCCTTCCCAGCCAGAAGTAGCATCTCTGTGATAAAGAACCTGTGCTCTGACCCACTTCCCCACTGATATCTTCCCAGCTGGATCCTGAAGTAACATGGTCCAGCTAAATCGTGACCGATTAGGAACTGCATCCGAGCTGGCGGGAGACAAAGGAAATGGAAAGGCAGAAACGTGAAATGGCTGCATCAGTTAATAAAAAAATAAAACCACAAACACAACAAATCCTCAGTAATGTCTGTTTGGCTCAATGGATAACAGTTAACTCCAGCACAGCTAAAAAATTTCAAAAGGAAATACAAACCAAGCCCTTGCTTCAGTGAAAAGCTCTGAGGAGAGCGGCGTTTCCAGTTGGGGCCCGCCGAGAAGTGCAAAGGGAAAATAAAAACCTAATGGCCTTGAAAGTGATCACATCACACTCCTGGGTTATTTGCTTTGGTCCCGGTTTAGCTGTCTGGAACTCACACTGGTGGCCAGAGTTCAGCCAGGAGTTCAGGAACCAGCTGCTATCAGTTTCCTGCACCTGCAGACGTGGGGGCAGAGAATGACCCGGGGCTGCTCCAAAGGGGCTGTGCCCCATCGCAGAGCTCCCCGCCAGAAACCCTTCAGCTGGAACAAAGAGCTACACGGGAGTTTATACAAGTTCCTTCTGTGCAAATCAGTGGCTTTGAGTCCATTTCAAGCAGTTGTCGTCAGCAGCTGCCGACATCTGGAGACTCCATCAGCAAAGAAACCAGTACACCCGCCAGCAGCCCCAGAAAGGAACTGGAGGGGAACTGAGCCCCAGTTCTGCATCTTGCACAGACGCCTGTCAGAAAGCGGAAAGCCAGGCTTTTTGGAAAGCCCTGTTTGAACAGAGAACAGGAGTTTGCAAACGCCGTGTTCTTTCAGGCACAAATTCTGTCCATTCGGGGTCCAAAAACCATTCACAGCAACACTCTGCCCGCAGTCAGCACTGCTGCAAGTGCTGGAAGGGCTTTCTTGTCAGCCCAAAGCCATAAACAAAACACTCAGCGCTGGCAGCAACTGCTCTGTGTCTACCAAGAAACCACCACTTTTCTTCAGCCGGTCTCTTGCAACGTGCTCTCCCAGCTGCCCCATTTCCCAGCGGCCCGAGGCGAGGGAGGGGAGGTCAGCAGGCCTTTGCCAAGACTTTTTTGTAAGAGCAAAGAGCAGAAAACTGGCTTTTCCATCTGGACTTGCAAACCCCGTGACTGATTCAACAAGTCACATTCGCTAAACACACAAATAACGCTGGGGAGTTACTGCTCCCTCCACTACTGCTGGTAGGTTTGGAGTTTTTTGTTACAACATACTGAAGCACCAGCACAAAAAACCCCAAGGAGTAAGTGACAGTAGCTGGTTAACAATCCTGATCCCAAAAAGGGCAAACGCTGGATTAACAGGTAAAAAGCCCCTAAGTTGGGGGAAGCGCCTTCTGCACCAACAGACCGTGCAAAGAACCACCAGAAACATCATTCAAGGAGCCACCAAGCCAAGAGGGAAAGGTCTGAGCTCACCAAACAGCTCGATGTAGACCTCCTGCAGTGTGTGGACGCTGCAGAACTGGTTCAGCTCATGGTGAATCTTGTTGAAGATGAGAGCTTTGTCGTAGTCCGCGGTGTAGTTCTTCACTATGTCATATACTGCAAAAGAAGAAAAGAAACCAGAGGGTGGTTTGCGTTGGGCCGAGGGTGTGCACTGAAAAGCTCATGGCTCAGTCACAGTAAGAGTCACAGTGCTGATGTGAAAGAAGGAATTGGGCAGAGTGGCTGGAGCTGCCTGGTGGAAAAGGACCTGGGGGTGTTGGTCGACAGTCCGCTGAACAGGAGCCAGCAGTGTGCCCAGGTGGCCAAGAAGGCCAACAGCATCCTGGCCTGTGTCAGGAAAAGCGAGGGGAGTAGGACTCAGGAGGTGATGGTCCCCCTGGACTGGGCACTGGTGAGGCCCCACCTTGAGAACTGTGTCCAGTTTTGGGCCCATCACCACAAAAAAAGCCATTGAGGGGCTGGAGCGGGTCCAGAGAAGGGCAACGGAGCTGGTGAGGGGTCTGGAGACCAAGTCTTATGAGGAGCAGCTGAGGGAGCTGGGGGTGTTCAGCCTGGAGAAAAGGAGGCTGAGGGGAGACCTCGCTCTCTCCAACTCCCTGAAAGGAGGGTGTAGCCGGGGGAGGTCGGTCTCTGCTCCCAAGGAACAGGCCATGGGACAAGAGGAAATGGCCTCAAGTTGCCCCAGGGAAGGGTCAGATTGGAGATTAGGAAAAATTCATACACGGAAAGGGTTACTAAGCCTTGGAATGGGCTGCCCAGGGAAGTGGTTGAGGCACCATCCCTGGAGGGATTCAAAAGCCGGGTTGACATAGTGCTTAGAGACATGGGTTAGTGATGGTTTTTAATCAGAGTTAGGTTGAGGGTTGGATCTCAATCTTAGAGGTCCCTTCCAACCCAGACAATTCTGATTCCGTGATTCTATCCTCCCACAAGAGAAGCCTGTGCCACAGATAGATTGTTCAGGGGAATTTTATTTATTGCTAGTATTTCACAACACCCTGACGGATATTCCGTCACGTGCTCTGTAAACAAAAGGACAGCTAACTAACAACAGCCTGCTACCCACAAATACACCCTGTGGTCTACACACAACCAGGGAAGGGCATCCTGCAGTTGGCACAGAACGGAGGAGCTCCTCCCAGCAGGAGATGAGCCAGGCAGTTATACCACGCCTGTCACCAACAAGATGGTAAAAATCAAAGAATTTGGGGAAAAAAGAGGCTGCACAGTGCACAGGTCATTGTCCTTGGGCCTCTGAGGCAGCCTCCTGCTCACAGCCACCCTGTCTCCTCTACCTCTCACACACCTCGTTATTCGAATCAGAAGGTCTTCACTGAAGCATAAAGCCCAGTGGAGCTGAAATAATACAAATAATAAAAGCACTGGATGGTGTTGGGTAAGAGCGAAGCAACCAGCAGCACAGAACAAGTGCACACAAGAAAAAACAAACACGTAAAAAGTCTGGAAAAGCTGGTTTCAAACGTCCTCCCAGGGAGCTCGGGGCTTTACAAAGCTCAGAGGAGAACACCCGGGTACAGCCCAGCCCCAAACCACGGCCCGGCCACGCACGGCCCCTTCATCACCCCCTTCATCACCCCCTCTCACAAACAACCCCGGAGCGCGAGGCTGGGGGGGTGAGAGGGGCAGAACCCACCTGCGCTCTGGATGAGGAAATTCACCACCTCGATCCTGTCAAAATAAATCATCACTCCTCCGCTGCAAGAGGAAGAAAAGATACTTTTTAAAAAAAAATAACCCAAACAAAAGGAAGTTTGCTGGAGGGCTGCGGAGCTGGGCAGCTCCGGGAGGAGGACACTCCCCTCTAGTGGGCTGAGTGCGGGCTCCACGCTGCGGCATTCCCAAACCTCCCACTGCCTGCTCCAGGCTCCCGGCTTCGGTGACACTTCAATCACCAGAACCGGGATAACGGGAGGAGAGCCCAGGTCTGGAAAACCCGGTGCAGCCCCCCAGGATGGCTGCAGGTAACCCCCCCCACCCTGGCAGAGCTCAGCAGCTCGGGGGATGCATCACAAAGCCCTTCAGCGATTCCAGGCCAGGGGGTGGGGGAAAATCCCACCCGGAAAAACAAATCTCCCCGTTTTAACGCACGCCGGGGCGGGCAGCGCGGGGAAAAGGGGAAGAACGGGAAGGTTTGTGGCAAAAACGGAGGACGGCGGGGGAAGGGGGGGTAACCGCTGAGCCGAACGTCTCACCTGGTGCCACAGGGGACATTTTTCACCTCATCCGTCTGCAGCGTGGTCTGAAGAGAGATTTAAGGAAAGAGGCTTAAGGGACAGGTTTGTCTCCGCACAAAGCCGCGGGGCTTATCGGCCTCTCACCCGGCCGCGGGGCCCCGCCCGTCCGTCCCCCCCCGGTACACCGCTAAAAGCGGGACCCCGACCTGCCTCGCCCGGTCCCCACAGCCGCTTCTCCCCCGGTACAGACC